GATTTGTTCCTCTCTATTTTTTTCATCTGCAAAGTGGCCATAGCAATGTAAGTGATTTTGATGATAATTTTTGTGTGCTTTTATACATGTTGTCGTCCTCTTCTGTCTCTCTCTGACTGTATGTTTCTGAATTCTTTCCTATTTGTCGAGTCTTCAACAAGAACAAAGGATAATAAAAAAATGTGGAAGTGATTGTGCATTTAAGCAGACAGCGGAAAAGGTGTCATAATAGCCTTAGCAGTTGTTCGTGTTGAAATAACTGCTGCGTTGGGTGGAGAGGTTGAGTTTCTGTACATTTCCACATCAACGACTTCACTCTGTCGGATCAGGACAAACCCTAYCTAACCGAACTTTGGGACATTTCCGTCTCTGCTCTCCAGGATGGCGCTCCTCCACGGTGTCCTGTGTCAGGTCTTCAGCTGGACAGGGCTGGGTCTTGCTCTGYGGGGKGTCGGAGCAGGCCTGGTGGTTGCAGCTGCAGCTTGGACTGCGAGGCTGCTGCTGCGTCACGCCTGGTACACTCACAGATTGTCCTGCTTCAACAAGCCACGGACACGCTCGTGGCTGTTAGGACACCTGGGTCAGGTAGCGTTGGGGCCTTGGTGGTACACAATTGACTCAGAYACCTGCAGCTTGGGATGCCAACAAACCCGTTCTTCCCACAGATGCAGAGCACAGAGGAAGGTCTCCAGCAAGTGGATGACTTGGTGCAGACCTACAAACACTCCTGCTGCTGGTTCCTGGGTCCTTTCTATCACCTGGTCAGACTCTTCCATCCTGACTATGTCAAACCTTTGCTGATGGCATCTGGTAGGWCAGCATTTGCACCATGAAAATCTTTGTTTTGAAAGATAATGATTGATTTTTTTTCATCTATCACATGGTCAACATTGTCTTTCTGCAAGGAAACATCACAGTGAAGGACGAGCTTATTTATGGCCACCTGCGTCCTTGGCTGGGTGACTCAAATATGGCAATAACTAACTAACTAAATAAATATGACAAGCTTCACGGTTTAAAATCAAAGGGTTTTCTTCTCAATGAGACTACCTGTTATTCATATCTCAGGACAAAGTCTGTTGATAAGCAACGGGGAGACGTGGTCCCGCAAGAGACGACTGCTGACCCCAGCTTTCCATTTTGATATCCTGAAGAACTACGTCACGACCTTTAACTCCTCCACTAACACCATGCATGTAAGGAGCGATCAGCTGCTCTAATCACTCTGCTGGTATTTAAACTTAATGACTCATTGGTTGAGGATGCTCACCTTACATACCTGTATCTCTTGATCTTAGAATAAGTGGTCTCGCCTGGTAGCCGAAGGAACGACCAACGTTGAGATGTTCCAGCAGGTCACTCTGATGACCCTGGACAGTTTACTGAAATGTGCCTTCAGCTACAACAGCAACTGTCAGGAGTGAGAAATCAACTAATTTTTCTGAAATGCTCAGCTCCTCGTGGGTCGTCGTGTTGTTTTAAAGAAGCTCTGTTCTCTCCCTGCAGATCCAACGATGAGTACGTGGCAGCCATAGTGGAGCTCAGTGACCTGATCATTGATCGCCGCTTTAAGATTTTACACCACTGGGACTGGATCTACTGGAAAACTCAGCAGGGAAAACGGTTCAAACGGGCCTTGAGTGTTGTACACAGGTAACCTTTAAGTAGCTGTGTGCAACAATGAAGAGGAACAAAATCAAGTTTTATGAAAAACGTGCTTATTTTCTTTTTCTGTACTTGCGTTTTATAGCTGTTTACACTTCTGTGCCAAATTCTAGATTTTTACAGCTAATATTGAATGAAATAATACTGCTTTTTGGTGTTTCACAGACTGGTTGCGATAATCCAAAACAATTTTATTGYTGAAATTCTAAACTTAAGCAAGAAGAGCTGCATTTTGCTAACATCCCTGTAATTTGCAGTTTCACCAGGGAAGTGATTCAGAAGCGCCGCGCCCTCATAAGAGAGCAGAGGGAGACACAAACACAAACTGATTTGACCACAACACCGCAGAAGAAGAAAGATTTTGTGGATATTATACTACTGTCAAAGGTAGAGCAGAAAAAAAGGATTAGCTGGAGCACAACGATCAAAATGAGGGGGGAAATTAAGCTAAAAGTAAAGTTTCTGATGCTTTATAAGATGCAGAAGAGTTGTGCATTTATTTATTGATAATTTCATTGTATACATATRAACTGTGTGTTGCAGGATGAAGATGAACAAGGCCTAACAGATGAAGAAGTACAGGCTGAAGCCAACACCTTTATGTTTGCAGGTGAGATGAAGAGCGCCCTCTGTGGCCAGAAATGCACGTTACAACCTCCACCATTCACACCTTTTGTTTTTGTTTTTACTTTATTTAACAAAATATGTAGTATGACAATTCCCAGTTATGCCTATCCATAGTGAGCATAATACAGGCATACTTAGAAATGAGGACACCAAACACTTCAAGAACTTCATGTTTCAGTGTATTTCAGTRATTTTAGATATAATTGGAATCCAATTTTAAAAACGTTAAAGACTGGGGATTATTTTAGTACTCTTTGTTTATGAATAAAGTAGTTTATCAAACAAAAGATTAGGTTATAACAGAGTTTAATTGTTTTGTTTTGCAGCAATACTCTGCATATTATACTGTATCTCTAGAAACAGATTCGGGAAGTATTTTCAGGACGTGATTTGATCATTTTTCCAAGTTATTCCCAAAGAATTTGGTTTTGCTGCGTTCATAGAAAACGTGGTCTGTATTGTTTTCACAAAATGAGGGTTTATTTTTGTCGACACKGAATCAGATTCTTAATAATTCTTTGGAGGGATAAATTCAATTCACACTTTTTAAAGTGCATTTCTTTAGCTTGTGGTTGTACAGGGAGTTTCAGATACAGAGTTCAATTGACTTTTATTTTAATTTGTAAAGTTGATCATTTTTATTTATTTCTCCAGGGAATRCAGTTTTGATAGACTGTTGCTAACTGTGCAGTTATTTGTTATTATTATTATGTATTGTTTTTATTTTGGTCAGTGAATAAAATTCCATTTATAGATAGCGTGTCTTATTGTGGGGTTATAGGATGATTTTTCACACTTGGACAGGTAGAATTCAGTTTGGAAGACTTCTAGAAATTAACCAATCAGGACAAAGTTATTGGGACTGGGTTCTTAAAATGCCAGGMACTAAAATGGACTGTGCAAACACAGATTGAGCTCTTTTTTTAACTGTACAATTATGCAAAACTATTCAAAGATCTAATGTTTGAATGAAATCCTTTTTGTTTTCTGCAGGTCATGACACAACAGCCAGTGCCATTTGCTGGACGCTGTATAATTTAGCACAACAATCACACCATCAAGAAAAATGCAGACAGGAAGTGATGGAGCTGATGCAGGGACGAGATGGACAAGAAATAGAGTGGTCAGAAAACAAACACACACACACACACACACACACACACAC